GACAAAATCAAACGCTGCGTTGTTTGCCCGCGGCGTAAAGAAGCACTCCATGTGTCGTCGTATTTTATTGTTTCCCGGATACGAGATACAGCATCGCAGAAGTCTGAAATACACGACTGCACAGACGCTCCATCCATTAGCCTTGACTGCAATGCGCCGTATAATACATCCACGTGATAGAATATTGTGGAGAAAAAATGAAAACTCACCATCTCCTAGCAGACGCTTTAGACCTGCCGCCTCCCTCACAGAGCGTTCGTCCCAAACCGGAGAGCTCTGAATACCATTGAAACACTCAATGAGCTCAGACCTAATTTCGGACACGCCCTGCACCACGCGTGATTGGAAGTTCCAACGTGTTGATGCACAAGCTGGGAGACGGCGGCTACATATCTGGCGAAGGAGGTCAGAGCGCTTCGGCGAAACGGAAAAAAATGAAGAAAACCCCGAAACATTTGCAAAAAATATACGGACGAGAGGGGTATCACGACACTTATTTTTAATAACGAGGTTAAATTGGTGTGCATAACAATGTAAAAAATGCGCATGAGGAAAATCTCCTTTTATATAAACTTGAACACCATGTTTCGACCCACTCATGACTGCCGCGCCGTCATAAGTTTGAGCTATCAATTTTGACTTCGCGTTGTAAGGCTGTAACACTTCTTTCAGTACAGCCGATATCCCGCAAGCCGTGCGATCAACGATTGGTACAAAGATGTGAAATCTCTCGGTAGGTTTACCATCTTTCACAAACCGAAAAATCACAGCCAGTTGGGAAACGCACGTGATGTCAGTTGTCTCGTCAGACTGAATCGAAAGGAACTGGCAATTCTCAATTTCCAGAGCCAAATGTTGTAAATAAATTTTATACATTGAGTCGAGCAAATCATTTTGGATATCCTTAGATGTCCCTTTCGAAACAGTTGCGGCATCAAGATGATCTCTCAATACTGTATCTAGGGATGCGGTGTATTCCACCATATCCAAAAATACCCCTCTATTAGAAGAGCCAGCCCGTTCATCGTGCCCACGGAGGGACAGCTCGTGACAACCAATGAACTTCAAAACATCTATCAATCGACCGAGAACATGGCGGTTTTTCTCGACGTTTTGGTTGTGCCGACGAATAGAAACCGCGCGTCCTTCATCCAACTGTGCTGCAATATTAACATTTCCGAATGTTCGGTATTTTACTGCATTGTCCAGATCCTCCATAGAAGATTGATGATCCCTGGCACGCTCGGAAAGATGTTTAAGATCTCTAAAACCAAATTTACACCAACGTGAGTCACGGGCGATAGCAAAAAGTAGGCAATAAAAACAAAAAAGTGCATTTTTGTCCTCGCTGTAACACAACCATTCGTGTTTTTTATACCAAGTTTCTGCGCAGAATGTACGCCGACGCTTTCCTCCGTCATGGGATTGTTCCAGTGAACAATTTTTTGGTTGATAAGGCCCAAGACGTTGTACCTCTAATTTTTGTTCCAGCGGCAGCTGCGAAAACGGAGTGCGAAGTAGTGCATCAACCTTATTCATTATGAGGTCTAAGGCTAAGAAATGCGAAGCCGGAAAGAAGTGAGGGGCTCAAAAGGAATGTGGAAAATCGAAAGCAAATGGACTAAAGGTCTCTAACTGATTCAATTAGCGAAACAAGCGACAAAAACGAAGGCGAGGAAACTATCAACTCTTCAAGCAACCAACGAACGAGAAGGAATGCGTGAATATGTCAACACGTTGTTGTAAGAAACGTCGGCATTGTGTCGTCATAATTTCGGGGCTAGCCCCGATGATGTAGTAAAAGAAACAGAAAACAAACGAGACAAACGCGGCGAGTGGAAGATAAAAGAGAGAATACGATATACAATGAGCAACCGGGGCAAAATCGGCGTCGCCCCGTCGACGTTCGGCGAAGGCTTTGCGAGCGAAAAATGAACCATGTCGGGAGAATATGGCTAGTGTAGACAGTCTGTGCAACCGATATTGAGGTATTTTTCGAATATTTTTTATTATACCGAAAAAACAACCGGGGCATTGCCCCGGTTGGCCCTATTGACGCGCCGCCACTGTATTTGGCAAAGAACCCGATGCATCAATTGAAGCTAGTTTTGTCATATCATGGAATGTTGCTCGTGCTAAGCACCAAATACTGTGACTGTATTTTATGAAAAAAAATATTGCTGATGTTGCCGCAGTCAATAGCCTAACCCTAAACGCCGTTTTTGTACCGCACTACACAAAGGTGCAACTCCCAAATTAGTAATAGTGTAACAGTTACAATGCAGAATGATGTAATGAGAATTATGCGACTCTCACTTATTTCTGAATTGATGCATGTGGCTCTTATACTAAAAATTTTTGCCTACCCCTGCCATATATGTTGCAACCTCTACTCAAATTGTTGCAGATTCAAAATTACCAGATAAATAAATGCGCCTCGCCCACTTTTATAAATTTGTAGATTGGCAACTAACTGCTTCTCTCAGATGCGACAGAAATAAACTAAATACTTGCTGGCACCAAAACCAAATCTTGGTCAATATGTGAGAGTAGGCTATACAATATTTTAGATGGAAGGCACTGTAATGGGGTATATTCGAACTTAGTGCAACTTGATCCCAACAAAACACTAAAACAGGAAAGTGGTGAATAGCAGCACCAGCACTTTCAGGCTTTGAGGTTTTTTTGACTAGTCATGCGTTGATGAGTGCCTCGGGTTCGGAATCGTACCTAAGTTAACCAGACTCGTTAATAAAACCGACACATAAAAATCGTTATTGACAAATTGGAAAAACACGGACGAAGAAATTGTTTAATTTTAAAATTCTATACGATAACTTTTCAATACAATTATGGTGTGTCGCAAAACTCCTTGATGCAACGTTATCACTAGGGTTAGTTCGGATACCTATAATTTTCACTATTCGGATAACGGATATATCCGGGTATTCCGTATTTTAAATATACGGTTAACCGGATAGTTACTGCTGATTTTAGAGAACCGATTTCGCAGGATTTTCGCGGTGAATTGAACGAATACCACCACACAGTTCTGTTGTAAATACTCACATATGTATTATTTTTCTTGAATATGAATTATTGTGCATTTTGATATTGCATGTGTCAATAAATAATAATTTAAGCTCAGTAGTCGTACCGATGTACAGCGGAATAATAAAATGAAACATTTTTTGAAAATATTGTGTCCTAATTTTTTTTCCCCCAACTGCTAAGTTATTTTCCCTATTCAAATAGTATGTAAAGATTTATATTATTTCTACTTTATTGTGAAGTTTTTTAAAAGTTTCTTTTTGTGTCTAGAGCCACTTTTCTTTAAATTTTGACTCGTACTAAATTTTAGTGTCGCAGACTCACAATGATCATTTCTGATCATCCGCACCTTCCTATCAATTGCAATGAAATTTAATATTGTCATGTATAGTATTTTGTTTTCTATAATATTTGGTGATTTCTTGCACGACGAAATAAACTTTGTTAATATATACCACAAGAGCATACATATAAATGAAATCATGAACACAAAAAATCGTGCATTTCGAACATTTTATTTCGGTGAGAGAAGTATCCAAAAAATAGAATATAGGGGGAACAAATTCCGTGAAGTGTATAGGAAAATATAAGTCATTTGAACAAAAATTTTAATAACAAAACAAATTGATGATTATGAAAAAACCGAAGTGGTCAGAAATTTCTTCTAATTTGAAAACTTCACTTATTTAACATGTCACTGTAAATTTTCTCACGTTTGTACTAATTAGGCCACAACTTTAAATCTATTTCCATTCGAATACCTTTTAAACTAAATTAACAGAGCCAAAACAATGCTGCGCCAGTTAACTTTACTTACCACCCTAAATGAGTAAACGAAAAACATGACACGATACAGAGTCTGTCACATTAAACTTTTCTGAAATATTATAGACCATTTTGCAAACAAATTTGTTTGTGAAAGTTCCATGAAAACCATAAATGTAATAACAGCCTTTCCTCCTCATTTTGAAATTTTCGAAAACGTCACTAATAAAAGCGGTCGAATTTTACAGGCTAATTGTGTTATCATCGCCGATCGTTTTCTTCCGCATCGCGTTATTATTTGGGGAATTAACATCGGCATTATGCCAGTTTTAATTTGAAAAGAAGTTACATCCCGTGAAAAGTTACCCTTGTTGTAAATTCAGTAAATATATACGATTATTACGAAATTTTGGCGATTCAACAGCGCCTAAAATAGAGTCTTGTTCTATCTATCACTGGCTCATAAATCAAGAGTCGTGGTATTTTCGTTAGCATTCAATTCCTTATTGTCAGTCAAAAATGTGTGTTTCAGATCTACTCTCTTAACGTTAGATAGATACGACGATAGATAACATACTGCGGCCATTTCAGTTCCGGGCGAAATAAAACAATTATCGGCGTTATATACCGACGAAACTGAACCCGACTTTTCTCCCGAAAATGTTGATATATACCTATAAGCTAATTAATATCTGCATTTATTGTACTAAATAAATTATACTCATTAGAATTGCAATAATACCTCAAATTTGATGAATTTTCAAGATAGCAAAAATAGGAAATTGGATTTGTTCGTGCAGCTTACCATTTATTTTCATATTTAGAGTAGAAATGCTTTTATTTTAAGGTAAGTCGGGCTCTTCTATACCGCAAATACGCAATAATCACATTTTTCTGCGTGTTTTGTGATGTAATACTATAGTCAAGTTCAGTCCAGCATTACAAGGATGACTAAAATATGCAGAGTGGTGTGGATATAAGTGAATATTATATGCTCTGAGAGATGTCATTGGCCACTCAACAAAAAATATAAAAATCACTAATGCGCATATGATTATTTATACTGCTCTATTATCCGGTTAACCGTTACAATAATATCCGGTTATCAGATAGCAAAATACCTCTTGGTTAATCGGTTATCCGGTTAACCGCTATCCGGATAATCCAACCCTAGATCACCAAAGCCCATATATACCTAAGTTGCGCAACAATGGAAATTGGCCGCCATTTTCGATCAACATCGCCTGCGAGGTTACGGCGGTTCTGCGTGATCCGCGGCTAGGCTGGTGCTTTCTGCTATAGAATTAAAGGCCGTTCGGCTCTTAATTGCAGCGGGAATAGCAAAACAGTGCAACTATTGAAGCTATCATCAGATGCAGAGAATGAGGAAATGGGAAAATAATTGTAGGCGACGTAAAGGCTGGAAATCTGGCCCAGGCAGTTCCTTGTGTGAGGTTAGTCAAACGAATGGCCTAATGTCAAACTAACACCAGGAAAGATAGGTTGTACACAGTTTTAGGATGATGTCATATTTAATTATTTATGTCACGTTGCCGATTCGACTCATTTAAGTTAGCTCTGACCCCAGGAAAGTTGAGAGTTAAATTAGTACGATTTTCTAAATGCTGGCTTCAGGTGTCAGGTCAGGCAAACTGTTTTCAAATCTTCCTAAGTAGGCCTAATGCAAAGTCAGAACATTGCATTGAATGTATCAGATTCATTGTCACGATTGTTTAAAGCACTGCGGTAACAAAAATTTATGGTAATTAGCAGCATTATGAGTAGACAATTCGGAGCTTAGTGGAAATAATGAATTTCTGAACTGAATGCGTGTTTCGTTAAGTCACTGTCAATTATATTTTGTGTTAAAAATGGGATGCTGAACGCTTGTTATTTCGAAAGTACGTTCATTGTGTAACCTACAACTCATTCCTTTTTCAGACGCATTTTTGAAGAATACCAATTTGATCCGAAGAGTACGGATAAATGGAAAAAATCTAAATAAAAGGGGATGACAATATTCGATGTGCCAAATCCACCAAATAATTCAAATCATCAAGACCTGAATTAACTAAAATATTGACTGAGATGAAGTTTCAAAAAATAACAATAGCCCTACAGTGAGTTGTGAATGCCAAAGTAAACTCTAATTGCCAGTTTGAATGTTTGTAAATCATTTCTGAACGTTTTAGGTTTGATTGAAACATCCGACTCCAGGACGAACCAGTTGTGTCATAAACTTATAATGTTGGGTCATATAAAAAAACACAAAAATGTGAAAATTGGGGAGGGGGGGGGGATTTCCCTCTATTCGTTTTTTGCGATATGAAACAACATAACACTTTCATTATAACACGGGGGTGCCATTTTTTGCGTTTTTAATCATCCACTCATATGTAGTCGCCATCGCTTGGCTGACATGGGCAGTCCAAAGCTCGTAATGGAACTAAGATGAGGAAGGTCAGAATAAAATATGGGCCTAACCGTCACTTGGTACACATACTGCTGAAGTTTCAATTATTGTACCTTTTTCCTGTCTTTGTTATTTAATTGTTGAAATTTCTATTGTTGGTCAATCGAATAGCACTTCTTTTCTATGTCTTTCATATTAAGGTATTTACATACTATTCTTGATCAATTAAATGGTCCATTTCTCATGTCTTTGTTATTTGATAAGTATTATTTCTTTTTATTGGTTAATCAAATTATTTCCAAATTGATCTGGACTATTAGTTTATTTGTAATGGTTTCATGAATCATACTGTAACACCAAAGATTTAAATAAAAATGTTCACTATTCCTATGATGATCATTGCTCGGTTTGTTTTGTAGACACGATTTCCAAGATGTGAATTATTGAATTTTCCTATTGATTGATCCTTTGTGTGAGTCAGAAACATTCTCAAAACCCCACCTGCTAAACCTCATTGATAAGTACATTATAATTATTAACATTTTTGGAGTGCAAGTTCGTAAAAATTCAAAACATATATAAAAAGTTCATGCATTTTTTAAACATTTTCAGATTTTGACAAACCTATGAATAGAATTCCTCTTGACCTTTCCAGTGTGTTACTTTTTTTAATACTGTGTAATGTGTATGTCCACTGAGTTGCACTTTATTTTATTTATTATTTTTCACGTTCAGACACATTCTCATCACATTTATTTTTTTGTCCCTGATCCACTTTGTATATATAGCCAATTTTTTTTTTTTTTTCTGATTATTATCGTCCAAACCCCATTGAATTTAGTTATCAGTTAAGTATAATTTTCCATCACATCCCCTCATTTTGTTCACAAATTTATTGTAAAAATATTATCGTAATAGTTCAAGTTTTGCCACTAGTCATTTTTCAGTGTTAATATTAATCACTTCAGCGTGTATCGCCGGATGAGAACAGAAGGGGCCTAGGTCACATTTTTGGAAAATTCACTTTTATCAATATTTTGGGGTTTTGAGCCATGCTCTACAAGGTGGTGGTCTTGAAATCCTGAATTTCTCAATAATAAAAATTTTAGCTGGACTTGGGACTATAATACTTTGTAGAAGTTAAGAACAGAATGGGGCTAAGTCCAGCTAAAATTTTTATTATTGAGAAATTCAGGATTTCAAGACCACCATCTTGTAGACTCTACAAGGTGGTGGTCTTGAAACCCTGAATTTTTCAATAATAAATGTAAATAAATACAATGTAGAGCATGGCTCGAAACATCAAAATATTGAATAAAGATAGTCGTAAGTTCCAATATGATGGGCATGAGAAATTAAATGTCCGAAACTTACATCCCTAAAAATTTGTTCAGTGCAATTTTACCTTTCATTCCATGCAAAAAATTTCAGAAATTGTTGAGAACAGAATGGGCCAAAAAGCTTTATAGGGGTAAAAAGCAGGAAGGAATTGAAGCTGAAGTGCCAAAAAATATTGATTACAAAGATATTCTCATGCACATCAAAATAACCAGAGCTCAGGTCTCAAGTGTGAATATCTAGCTAGATATTCGAAAATGAAAAAAATCCAAATTGTTTTTTGCGTTTTTCTCAAAATTTTGGTTGTGGCTATTTTATTGATGACTGTATTTTTTGGTTGACAAAATAATAAAATCTTTCTCTCATTGCACTACCATGTGTAAGGACGTTCACAAATCAGTCATGCAGCTGGAGTGTCTAAAAAGGGCGAATTTCTAATGTAACATTGACATCAATATTTAGCTACAGTCCCATTTGACGTCGCTTTCACTGTCGAAAAATTTAGTTCGTTTTAGGCCTGTTGTACTGTGAAATTGTGTGTGTCTACTATTCTAATGGGAAAGTCAACATGGAGGTTTTGTTGCGCCATCAGGACGCCCTGGTTGTCAGCAAATTCCGGGACGCCAGACGTCAAATCCGGGATTGTCCCGGCCATTCCCGGGACGGTCGGTAGCCCTAGCATCATCAGGTCTTGAATAGTTTTAGATTTTGCCTACTTACCCGAAGGCTATATGTGTGTGTGTGTGTTGACTTGCATTGCCTATGTATTTGTTTTAGTGTTACGGAAAATCGAAATAAACTTTACTTTACTAACCGTGCGTTGCGTCTATATTATGTTTGTTACCGAGCGGCGTGGGTTCTTAATGTAAGTGCCCCGTATTGGGTTCGATACTGATTGAGACGTCCTATCGGATTTCTGCGCCCTCGGAATATAACTACTGATTTAAATCTGCCCCAATAGCCTTTTAAAACTACTAAAATTAGGCTTGTTCGCGTTACACTACTCGAGCCGAATGATCGAAAATGGCGTCCATTTGACGCCATAATGGGACAAGTTAGTTGCACGGGGTTGGTTATCACTACCCGTGCCAAATCGATATGGATATATGGACCTTTCCCCGACATCAAAACATCCGTATTTTCAACCAATCACAAGCGAGCAGATGTAAACAAACATTCCCGCTGAAAAGTCGCTCAGACAACTTTAGACGCGTTCCGCACAGGTTGCTGGCGGTTTAGGCAGATATTTGTCCCTTTTTCGCTTTTTTTCTCCACAGGGCTGCGAGAATTAGAAAGCTGTAATACTGTATGTTACTTGTTGCAAATCACGTTCACGAAATCTATACTATACTAAAAGGCTATACCCGTTGCAGGCACCTTGCAGGTTACGGTACTGTAGCCTACAGGTCACAACTGCTTTTCCGAACCAAAAAATAGTAGACAGTCATGCTGATGCAATCAAGGGTACCGGTAGCCTAACGTATATCAGTACGGGAGAATTTGTCTTCGATACGATGTTGCATTTTTATCAATCAGAATCTATAAATGAATTATTTTGGTAGACTAACATGTGTAAACGCTGTGCATATATCATTATATGGTATTTGCCGGTCTGACAACCTGTCCGGTACCCCTGTCGTTCAAATGGAGTAAGATTTGTGCCTTTTCCGAAGCCACATATTGACTGACAAAAAGCAATGAGGTGGATAAAGGAATGCAACAGACCTCACAGTAGGTATGTTACAAAAAAATTAAAGTTCATCCGATTTAAATCAAAACTGCACCAGTGGATAGATCTATGTGAAAATAAGAAAACAATACCAAGTTTGCGAAAAACGGTCAAGAATTAACGGAGATATCGGCATTTAAGTACCGCCCGATAGGCCAATTTTTTTCATAAGGATTGTATTGCGCCGACTCAAAAACTGTGACCGCAAGAATGTCAGACCGATATACAACAGAATGTATCTCGGCTATTTTTGAAGGTGATCGAAAAAAATTAGGAACGAAAAGTTATTGTGAATAGAAGAAACTAATACAAAAAAGTTTACAAATTCTTTTTAACGATATTAGCTGCTTTCCAATTAATTATGTACGAGAAAGTTTCTAAACTTTACATAACCTCTGGTCTGCAACGACTTTCCCACTACACAAGTCCCCGCCTACGCGGCAATTAACTGATTTAGCGTTTTTCATATCCGACCTTAATGAACGATTAATTATCATTTAATATTCCTTAACTCGTAAGATATTTACCGCGCTTAGTGAAACGCTAAACGAGAGAAATCGCTGCGAGGGAAAATGTCGGCATTCAGTCGATGACTGATGCAAGTTGACAGACGCGTGCTAAGATCATACTTCTCGTGCCTTGAATTAATTTGTACCGTTTCGTAAACGTATGCGAATTGATTTTTTTCAATAAGAACTTTAATAAATATGAAAAAAAATAACACATATCAATCCTTAATCTTTCGATGTGCGTCACATCTAAGAAAATTGAGATTACGTCAGGATTTTATTCTGGCAACGATCATTGAGGCCGTCGGAAGATCGTCGCAAATCAACCCTGGAGTTGAGCATATTAGTTTGACAGTGCCTCGTTGCGGGTAATAATTAACGATGTTCTGATTGAACAAACTTCATAAAAATTGGTAAGTATCAAGTTAGGAATGACATACATGCGTCCATATATATTTTATTGGTGTCCATAGACAATATCATTAATTTGCAGTACGTATAACTTTAGCGTAATTTTTAAAAGCCCGAATGTTGGAAAATTTATGCGCTAATGAAAAAATTCAAATACCGAATCATAGTTGCGCATTTTATCTAAGTTATGTCAAAATTTCATGGAATTCCAAACAACAGCAGGCAGTCCGAAGTCGTTTTTATGAGCGGTATTCTGACACGGCGTTACGGTACTTAGCAGACGTGGTGCGTACATTTTTTGGCGCGAAAAAGCGCGTTTTGTAACATTCCTACTCACAGTATATTCAATCTAGGAAAAATCACCAGAAATACCTTCGTGTGTACCAAGGTAGCCTACGCCAACATAAATAATGTTTTCGATTCATGATATATTCAATATGTTAATTCTTATATGAAATAAATTTTCATACAAGCAATGCGTTCCATCATGCATATTCATGGAGGCAAGGGACCAACTGATGAATACCCTGACCCTATATCAGATTCTTGTCGCCCAACAGAAAAGCACCATCGAATTGTGAAGTAAGGATTACTTATACCATAAGTCAACTTCGGATCATAATTTCACATGATTTGTCACCATTTGATACAGAGACATGTGAATCTGACGAAAGTGAGAAAGGATTGTCAGGGATCCAACCAGATCTGCCCCCAGACTCTTTAGTTGAAACTACCTCAAGTGCCGCTGATGAAAAAGACAGCGCTTTGTCAGACAGCAGAAAAATGCAAGCAAGCATCATCATCATCATTTTATTTTGGTTCTCTGGCATAAAACAACACAAAAAGTCAACATACAAACAAAGTGCAGAGAAAAGTGGAAGTCGAGCATAACTTAAAATAGATATTTTAAAAAGTACGCGACTATCTACCAAAAAAAGAAATAATAATAAAAGGGCACGAAAGAATTAACAAGATTCAGAATCGGAACTGCAACTGCAAAGTCACACCAAGCTGCTCCTGAAAACAGAAGTTGGCCCTGCACTTGGTAGTAACAACTGTGGTGTGTGATGAATATCCTTATTTTGTTAGGTTGTTTTGCATTTACCACTGTCATATAAATCACAACTTGTTCATAATTACCTGATAACTTTAGAACCGAACCAAGTGGTGGGTGTTTGCCCATCTGACCATGGGCTGACTATATAACAATGAGGTAGTGCCCAGTGAGAGCAATTCTTCCATATTATCAAGGGATGAAACCAGGCAGCTTTGATAAAATACCTCAGACGCTCCATTGCTTTCATATTTTTTGTTTGTTGTGCCCAAAAGCATATATCTGGTGTGTATTTTTATCCTATACAACACAATATCTGTAAAACTGTATAATTTGTAGTTATTTTCTTGGATTTACTTGCTTGTTCCTTCATCATATATTTTTTATAATCTGTTATATCCCATTTCTACACTGACTGAATAAACTATATCGTAAAACCTATCACATAACCGACTGTTTTTGGTTGAACCGGTATGATTGGAACTCCGGCTCGATCTAACTTTGTGGGATTAGCACCAACTACAGACGACAAAACTGTTGGATCTATTTTGTTCCCTCCATATAGGTTGTTACCAATGCTGGGGAAGGCTTGGCTCAGCGGAGAATCTTTTAATCCCCTCAATTTCATCTGTTGGATAGTCTTGGTTAGTCCATTTAAACCATGTTCATCACTATAACATTATTGGTCTTATAATTTTATGTGGTATGTAATCGATCATAATACCTCAATAAACCTGTTGAATCTAATCTTTCAATAGTATATTTGCACCCATATTACTGAGCTAATAAATCTGTGTTTCTATGATAGGACATAAACGTAAGTGCCCTCACTGTGCCTAGCATGTACAAATTGCATCAGAGACTTGGTGACCATCCAGCGACACCACTATTTGAAGATGATGTGGTGGCAGAGACTCCTGAACTTATCTATAGCACTTGGCTTTGAAATCTAGCGTTGAACCAAGATTGACGACTGAACCGTCATGAATGCATCTGAAAAAAATATTCACCTGTTCAGAATTACAGATTTCTGTAGTTTGTGCAATGTTTCCAAGAATGTATCTAAAAGACTTTTCAAACTGCCCCTGCATTTCATTTGTTTCTATACTAAACCCACCAATTCAGCCCTAACTTGGACGCTATCTATCAGTCTATGAACTATGGGATACGGTACCGGTAGTCACGCAGGTCTCCCAGTCCTATCACCACCCTCTGACATTCTTCAACCATATAAGTTTAAATATCACCTTTCAATGAAAAGTTTTGTATCCTTCTCCTGCTGGGGGAAAGAAAAGTTCCTGGAGAACCAAGTTATAGAAAATTCATCTCTGAGTGATTCCATTTTTGTATGTTAAATAAGCTTTTAGAACTAAGTTAGGTACGTTAACGACAATGTGAAGGCGGAATAACGTTAATATTAGATCACTTGACAATATGTTATAACTTTAGAAGCACGAAAATACCGCCATCACCAGTGAAATGCCATTCGAAGGCTTTAAAACGAGCAACGTACCACTCTATCGCCCTACGCAAGCCTGAATATTTGCAATGTTTGTCTGAGCGACCAAAATCAAAACAATAAAGGTCAAAGGTCGGGGAAAGGTCCATTGTCTCAATTATTGTTTCACCCAAATACAACAAAGATAATGTTTCGATCAGTCACAAGGCCGTAGAAATAAAGATTAATCAAAAAAATTACATGGAACTCGGAAAATGTCATCTACTTTATAAGCTGCAAAATGTGTGGCATGCAATACATAGGAGAAACAGGAAGACGTCTGAGATACAGAATGAATGAACACATCAGAAGTATTGAAACCAGAAACAAAGATCTGGTTGTAGGTGTCCATTTCAGCCAACCGGGACGTTCACTTAAGACTTCGGTGTCGTTGGCATTGAGGAACTATTTCATGAACACATTTATCGAAAAAACTAGAAATCGAATTTCCTTCATCTCTTCGGGACACATGAACCACAAGGGATGAATATTAAGGAAGTTTGGAGCAATTAGGGCCTACAAATCTTTCAATAAATGTGCAACTCATTTATTGTACTTAATAATTGGGAAAGTTTTACTTAAGAGTTGGATCATACATGGCCAGATATGTCATCAACTGACGAACAATCTGTAAATTATAATTGGCTCACAAACGACTTTTCTGGTCAGCCATCATCCAATGCTGGGAAACACAAAACACCATTGTTTAATTTAGACTTTATTTGTTAAACAAAACAAAGAAAGAGATCTCATCAATGACCTCTCATTTCATTCACCCTATGTACGTCTGAGAAAGTTTGACTTTGGTCAGACGAAACGTTACAGAAATATATTTGTGTTAGTGTGCAGCAAGACTCTTGAATCAATTAATGTTCCGATCGTCGTGAAATATATTTGCCACAGAACAAAGATTATGGTCTGATCGTTTCGGGAGCGTAAGTGGCACAGGATTAATGCAACACGTGGAGGCCATCCAAAGGGACAAGTTCAGGAGAGAAAAACTCGGCTTAACAGGAACATTTATGCTATTTGTCGTGCTACGGCACTCTAGGCCTAAGAGTTATCTCGTTATGAGGGAAGTTTTTGCCACTTATTTACACATCAAGCCAGCAGTACAACTTTGAACTAAGTTTTATTGTACCGAAAGTAACAATTTTAACACAAAATAGTATTCTTATAATATGAATATATTTTTATAATGTATTGGATGAAGCTTTATGTTATGTTTGTTGAATTAACTTATCAAACACTGCATGTCTCTACACCTGTTAGCACAGATCACGTCCACCTGATCGGTGTTCCATAACTTTCTGGGATCCGAAGACGGACTTTGTGATATCCACGAGACGATCATAATATAGAAAATTAAAACTCCACTTTACATGGTCTAGAAATCTACAATGAGAAGGATGACGTAGTGTATCTCCTAAAGCAGGGGTCGGTAAACTGCGGGAAAACACATTTTTTTTTTGTCTACCCCAAACGACGTCATATTCAATACATGAAACAGTGACTGTTGTACAGTGTTTGTTTTGTAGTTAGTACCACAGACGGAGGCGCATGTTAGTGGTATGTCATTTACTTGTCGAGCAGGCCTACTGATGGTTGTAATGGTCAATTTCAGATTCGGACATTTATTTTCGTCGTGCAACAAACATTGTACATATAACCAAAAAAAAAAAAATGAAATAAATTCATCGAAAAAACGTTTCAACTGCAATAGACGAGGGGTCGCGAAAAAACTATTAAAGTCATCGCCACGAAATGGCTATCAAAGTCATCATTTAGTTCAGTTTGATATTTAAATTTTGGCGGTAAAATGGCTGGAAAACGTAGAAAAGTTAGCGACGAGGCTCGAGAGTTTCACGTTCTTGGACGGAAAAATATTTCATTGTTGAGAATTATTCAAAACCTATTTGCTTCATAAAGCAAAAGAGCGATTGTGTACTGCAACACCATTAACAAAGTTGCTAGTCCATTCAAACGCTTTGGCCATGACACAGATCAAGATCAACGTTCACACTGGTGATAAGTAAAAACCAAACAATGTAAATTTTTGATAAGAAATGAGAAAAGGCCACTTGCACTTCACATCGAGACAGACGTGGGTGCGCCATCAAGTTTAATGTGGCGATTGTTTATAGGCGGGAATTAATGCGGCTCTAACACCACCGTAATATGTATATAGCCCAGTAGTACACAAGGTTTGCCGAAAGAAATGGATTCATTTTATGCTTGATTAAGATATGATAGATTGGCATGAACAAATAAATTAAGATATATTACTGACAGCTAAAAATCAAAGTGGATTAAGTTAATATATGTTTGAATAGGTCGCTTTTGTCTAAGAATTTGAAGAATAGTCACAAAAAGAATGGAAAGCAATGAGGTGAGACATTGCCATCGTTCAAAAAGCTATGAGGCCTCAGGATGAGAAACGACGAGCTGACCCTAGTAATAGACAACCTCGATTATATTTCCTCGTAAAAAATCCATGACTATAAATAGGAAACCCTAACTTGAATCTTTGATAACCTGGCAATACCGACTGCCATGATTGGGCAATTTGTCTTGGTGATATCTTTTATCGAATATTTTTCTATACATTTCGTAGGGTGGTTCACATAACCGCTGGTCGGTTACGGCTTCCTCCACCATCAAGTCCATGCTTACTAAAACGAATATCTAACTAATCCCATACCAGACATGTAACCGGACGAGAGGCCATGGTTCGCCTCATGGTTAAGCAGTCTTTTAAAGGATGTTTCAATAAAATGTCAGTTGACATTTGTACGTCATATACGTTAATTTGGAAAGATAATTCTGCTCATGTTAAGTTACAAAGTAGGCAAAATGGCAGAATAGCTATTTTAATCAACTGATCAGCAAATTAGTTACTAAAACATTAAAAAAACATTCAATACTTGCAATTGCTGCAAACATAAGGTAATAAACAAAAAGAAGAGTTGATGCCTGGACTAAGCCCATCATGTTGTACATTCATGTCCTGTTAGCTCTCCTAATTTAGTCAAAACAGACAGTGTTTTCTAGATTTGCCTGTTATTGAATTGACTTCAATTCAAACCCTGTGATATTTTGAATCTCATATCCCTACATGCAACATGCTGAATATTGGTTGGAGAACTTGTTATAAGCATAACTTTAATCATACAAGGCTTTCAACAAAAAATTACTACGCCTAAGAATTGGGGGGGGGGGGGGCACTGTCAAACTGAATAAGACAAAATGAAAAATGTACCATTGTCTTGAGTAAATTCACAATATTGCGGCAATTGTGGTATTGATTTTCCAGTTCATTAAAAAAAGCTTTTTACTAATGGACCATAGGTAAATCAGAGAGAAATTATAAAAATGCTGATTATACAGCCCCAATCTTAGTCAATGACGAAATTGGAAAATATGCCATTGTCTTGCCCATCACTATCTGAATACAGCAGAGGTGTGCAACATTTTTTGTCAGTGGGCCATATAACCAACTTCAAACATCCAGCTGGGTCACACAAAAAATTGAGCTGGGAAGGCAAGAGAATGTGGCTATCGCTTAGCCTAACAGTTATAAATGAATCTGACAAAGCGGCGAAAGATTTACCGCAGCGACATAAGCAGTTCATTTAAGTGAGCACCTTTTCAAACATAAACTGCCGGATTAGGATTTTGTGCCTAAAAGGGAAAAATATGAGTTTTGACAAGGGCCACACTAAATGGCTTGGCGAGTCGTGTTGTGCCCCAGGGGCCACCTGTTACACACCCCTGGTCTACAACATAAGGTTGTTTCAAGACTTTTTGGTATTACACCCTTCACGAACCTTTCTATCAGCTTCACAAAGATCACAAATCCAACTACCTTCTGGTGGTTCATCCATCGGTGGTGAAAGGCAGTACATATGGTATCCACGATCACAATCGTCACAAAAGAGAAGTTGATCATCATTGTCAGAAGTGCCACATAGATGACAAGATTTGCATTCAATGCATTGCCATTTGTATTTTTTGACATTCATTGTCATAATGTCAGTGAATTGCAAACAGGTGGGATGTCCAGAACGTCCACAATCAGAGCATGATACAAGCTCCTCGGATTCACCTGTTTTCTTGTTTTCATCAGCATCTCCAAGACAAAAATCACAATAAGCACTATTGACCGTCTGTTTTTTCTTTTTGCTTCTGGTCAATCTTTCCTCATCTTCAAAATCATCCCCAACATTTGATCCAGTCATACTCTCAGACCTGGACGATGGAAGAGCAGATTTTGATAGGACTCCAGGATTTGAATCTTGATCAACTACACTAGGAATATCATTATCATTTCCGGGGTTGTAATCTTCATCTGCATCTACTTCATCTTGGTGGTATCTTTGAATGTGATAATTAAGGCCAGTTTTATTTTTGTATCGTTTTCCACAATAAGCACATGGATGTGGTTTTTCTCTCTCCTCATCTCTTTCCATAGCGGTCCTTCTAGTAGTCCTGCCACCTCCTCTTCCGCCACCTCTCGGTCTTCTTCCTCTTTTCCTATGTCGTGGATCGTCATCATAATCTTCATCATCATCGTCTCCATATTCATCGGCTCCTGCATCTTGTATGTCGCTCATCGCATCAAAATCCAGTGCTGGGCCAGAAGAACTATTCGAATTCTCATTAATATGCCCCTCTAAACCTTGGATTAACTGTCCTGTCAATGATTTACTGTTAGTAGCCATTGAGTAAGGATCAAGGATAGGCATAGTCCTAGGTTTCTTTTTCCATCTTTTACTAGGATATGTATAAACTTGATTGGGTCCAAGACCAGGCCCTCTTTGCCATCGTTCAAAAAGTAAATTGCAGCTGTTTTGGGCTACTCCAGTTTGCGAGTCCAAGTAAGGCAATCGGACTCTTCTTTCAGTCATTAATCTTGAATTAAATGAATGGCATTGTTCCATTGCTTCCTTGTAAAACAAAATTGATATGCCAGGAGGATTCGACATCTCTTTCATTAATAAATATAAAATTGCTTAAAGTTTGATTATTTCAAGCTGTAAAAAAATTTATCGATCATGCAAATATTGTATGGCGTCATAATACTTATCAGCTTAACATACGGTAGCCAGTTACCGAAACCTTGGCTACTACTTATGATTCCTGTGTCATGGATGGGATAGGATTTACATCATTATCCTGAGGGAGAGGAAAGCCGATAAGACGACTTAACCATATGGCAAATCACGGCCTCTCGTTTGGTTACCATTCCATGTGTGGTATGGTATTAGTTAGTTATTTGTTTTTGGAAGCATGGACTTGATGGTGGAGGAAGCCATAACCAACCTGCAGACCTGCGGTAACGTGAACCACCCTACGGCAAGGAGTCCAGCGATCCTCTCACACATACCTATTTCCGCATGGGATTCAGAGGTGCGGTAGATAAAAGCTTGAGGTGTTGGGGATCTCTGGATTTTGGCAATCACCGAAAAGAAAAACATGTCAGTTACTTGTCCTAGTTTTCTAGACCTCCTTAATGAAACATGATCATGCCTCAAATTTAACCAAAGCTACTGTACCGTACTACAGTTCATGGAAATAATAATGCGATCAGCTGTCACCCCCCAATTTCAATTAGACCCAAATTACTGAATTAATATGATAATGTTCAAAATTTTCATTTAACAGAATTATAATTTCTGAATTGTGAGAAGTTATGCATTCTAAACCAGTTTAACATACAACAGCACAATACTGCAATGTTCAGATATTATTATTTAGAGCAGGGGTTATGAAACTGGGGGTCTTACAAGGCAGTGTTTCTGAAGCTGGTTTCGATCGAACCCCTGGGGTAAGAACAAGTTCCTCTGAAAGAGATGTACGGTACGGGTACGGTACACCATGAAACCATCTTATTACATAGCCTACCGCCGGCAGGGCAGGCTACCGGTACTAATTTTGTAAAATTAACTATAGTTCATCTTAGATATACGACATTACACGTTTTAACAACCCATGACAGTAACACTGTGTCTTGTGTATACATCCCGTCTTCAATGTTGATATTTACTGACTCCTGAGTTTTTCTTTTACGAGACGAATAAACATACATACATACATACTGTGCAGCTGTGTGGAGTTTCGCGCAGATGTAAGTTTTAGTACCTAGGTAAAGCTAGCGGCCACTTCCAGCGGACAGTTACCAATTTTTCCAAATTTAAACCCGCCATGCTCCACGACAGTTGTCGCGAATTCACTTAATTGCGCCTACATGGATGCAAAAAATTAGGCGATTCTCCCTTTTAGAAACTGACGACAGACCTGAAACATAATAAAAAACAAAAATGATTGAAACAACACATTTTTTCCTCGATAAAATGAATTATTGCTCAGAAACTCATTTCTCGACAAAATCTAAAATTTAACTGAGTTGCAGCGTAATTTATGCAAGAAATAATTTTTTCTCAACCAATTCATTAATACAGTGAATTTGATGAAGATATATAAAACATATATTAAATTTTAAAACAATTCCACTATGCGGAAAGTTAGGAAATACTCCCCAATTCAAAGAAAATTTTTAAGAAATTATCAATATAACTCAGTTAAAGCGTAATTTATGCAGGAAATAATATTTTCTCATCCAATTCATAAATACAGTGTATTTGGTGGACAAATATAAAATACATATTGAAATTTAAAAAAAATCCACCGTGCGGAAAGTAGAAAAATTCCCCCCAGTTTAAGAAAAAAATACAGAAAATATCCAATTTAACTCAGTTAAAGCGTAATTTAGGTAAGAAGGAATTTTTTCTCATCCAATTCATTAATGCAGTGTGTTTGGTGGACAAATATAAAATAGGGGAGAGTGGGGCACGGTAGCCCATGGGGCACAGTGGTCCAATCCATCCACTAGCGACACCGGTGGTCGTACCGGGCACGTGACCAAACTGAAAAAAGTCACGGTCAAGCCTGTCCTCCAGGAAATTTATTTGCGCCGGTAGGTCGTATTGGAAAAAGTTAGGAGACTTTCGTTGTTTTTAGGGGGCCAAAGTAAAAATAAATTGCCGGAGTTTTTTTCTTCTAAACTGCAGCCCGCATGACTTTTGTCGCCCATATTGGCATGCCAGGTAGGTGCCCCACAGTGGCTTATGACGGGGTATAAGATAGATCGGCACTCTAGCCTACTTGTCGTGAGAGGATCAATTATCCCAAAATGGTGAGCTTGGGCACAGTGGGACATCAACCACGAGTACACACTGGGGCGTGTCCCACTGAACCCCTCCACAGCTCTGTAGGGTTTGAGGGACCTAGAGTAGCCTACCTTCTGTCCCCGCTCCTGCTTGCTAGTTGCAATGTTGGATTGTCTTCCTATTTCAGAGCAATCCTAATTGATTTAAATAAACAACTAGCGAAATGCCACGTAAAAGGAAAAGAAAAACCTCCATAGGACAGATCGATCCATTGGTTATGAAGAGAGCAGCGGAGCAGGTGATTCATGAAGACAAAAAACTGCGTACAACTGCAAGAGAAAATGCCATTCCCAAAACAACCCTATCAAGGTACGTCAAAAACTGAAGTTTATGTCAGAAAGTTCTGTGTCCGACTCAGCGCCCTCAGATAGCCTCGAGTATTTTCGTCCTAACTACACGGTAAGAAGAATATTTTCGGATGAGGAAGAAGGTGAGCTTTCGAGTTATCTGCTACAGGCATCCAGGCACTACTACGGGCTTCGAAAAGACGAGGTTCGAGAGCTAGCGTATAAAATGGCAGTTAAAAATGGAACAAACATTCCGCGGTCATGGGTTGAGAACAGTAGGGCAGGAAGCGACTGGCTTCCAGAAGCCACAAGTTTGTCGAGAGCTACCAGTTTCAACAGAAAAAATGTTGGCGAATTCTTTGATAACCTTGATTCCGTAATGAAGCGTAACAAGTTTGAGCCAAATTCCATATATAACATGGACGAAACCGGGTTAACTACCGTTCAAGTGCCGTCCAAGATCATTGCCGAAACAGGTATAAAGCAAGTGGGAAAGATTACTTCGGCCGAAAGGGGACTTCTTGTGACAATGATAGGATCAGTCAATGCACTAGGAAACTCCATACCTCCGTGCTTCATTTTTCCTAGAGTCAACTTCAGAGAACATATGCTGAGAGGTGCGCCACTTGGTGCAGCTGGGTTTGCAAACAAATCTGGTTGGATAAATTCAGAAATCTTTCTTTCATGGATGAAACATTTCGTAAAACATGCAAACTGCACACCTTCAACTCCCGCACTATTACTAATGGACAACCACAAGAGTCACATCACGATTGATTCTCTCAATTACGCAAAGGAAAATGGTCTGGTTCTCCTCACATTTCCACCCCACTGTAGTCACAAACTACAGCCTCTGGACAGGTCAGTATACGGGCCGCTGAAACATTACTACAATAACGCCGTTGATGCGTGGCTAACTCTTCCAGAACATGCAGGCAAAACTCTAACGATATACGATATCGCCGGAGTTGCTAAAACAGCATACATTCGCGCGTTCACGCCTGAAAATATTCAGTCGGGATTTCGGGTGTCTGGAATATTTCCGTTTGATCGAGATATATTTGGCGACCATGAGTTCTTGTCTTCCTTTGTTACAGATCGCCCAGAACCAAAAGAAGATGATAGCGAAGAGTGTCAGGCTGCGCCAAGCAACGCCGATGTAAGCTCTTTGCCTGGGACCTCCGGCACTACTGCACATTTCTCACCAGAAGATGTCAGACCGTTCAACAAAGCCTGTCCGCAAAGAAAAAAGTGTGGGAGAAAGAGCTCAAAGACGCTAGTTCTCACGGATACGCCGGTGAAAGAGGCTTTAACAGCTAAATTGACTAACTCACAATCCAAAATCAAAAGCTCTAAAAAGAACCCCAAGCAAAAGAAGGCTGCGCCACCTGCTGAAACGAGCAGTGATGAATCATCTGTCCCCTTGAATGACGATAGCGATCTGGAAAGTGAAGTTGATTCGCGTGTAGACGATAGTGTAGATCGAGTGGCAGCTGTGGGGGATTTTGCCATTATTAAATTCAGTAGAAGGCGTGGTGGAAACGCGTTGCATTACGTCGGTAAAATTCTTGACAAGGACGACGACGAGAAGGAATTTGAAGTTATATTTATGCAAAGAATCCCGTCGAAAGCAACAAATTCCGCTTTTGTTTTCCCCGAAGACGAAGAAAGCACATTCGGGCTGGATGAAGAAGATTTAGTCTGTCGCCTTGAAGCTCCAGTTAAAGTTGGCGGCACGGCAAGAGCTTCCAGACACTACCGATTTAGTGAAGATCTCACACAATGGAATATCCAGTAGCTTTGAAGGACGAATAAGGGCTCGATATTTCAGCAAAATTTCTTTCCTGATGGTGTTTTGTTCTTTATAAATTATTTCCTCCTCAGTGTACCACTGTGATCCAACCACCGTCCCACTGTATACCGACGTCGGGGCACAGTGGGACAAATTTTTTTTTTTAAAAAACCTGGCTCACAGGAAAAATATTCCCATTGAGCAAATTCTTTGGTAAGAAATAAAAAGTTCGTTTCTCTTACAATGTAGTCATATGATTTAGAAAAAATGAGGGCCACTGTTCCCCACTCTCCCCTACATATTAAAATTTGAAAAAAATCCACCGTGCGGAAAGTAGGGAATTCCCCTCAACTTAATGAAAATATTTAAGAAATCGTCTATCCAACTCAGTTAAAAAATAATTTATGCAAAAAAGAATATTTTCTCATCCAATTCATTGATACAGTGTATTTGGTGGACAAATATAAAATACATATCAAAATTTAAAAAAAATCCACAGTGCGGAAAGTAGGGAAATTCCCCTCAATTGAAGAAAAAAATATAAGAAATCGTCAATTTAACTCAATTAAAGCGTAATTTAGGTAAGAAGGAATTTTTTCTCATCCAATTCATTAATGCAGTGTGTTTGGTGGACAAATATAAAATACAGATTAAAATTAAAAAAAAATCCACCGTGTGGAAAGTAGGGAATTCCCCCTCAATTAAAAATTAATATAAGAAATCGTCAATTTGACTCAGTTAAAGCGTAATTTAGGTAAGAAGGAATTTTTTCTCATCCAATTCATTAATGCAGTGTGTTTGGTGGACAAATATAAAATACATATTAAAAGTTAAAAAAAATCCACCGTGCGGAAAGTAGGGAAATTCCCCCCAATTGAAGAAAAAAATATAAGAAATCGTCAATTTAACTCAGTTAAAGCGTAATTTATGCAAGAAAGAATATTTTCTCATCCAATTTAGAAGTTGAAATAGCGTAGTAAATAGTTCGAAAATCGCCAAAGAAAAAAAGAGGGCCACTGTGCCCCACTCTCCCCTACATATTAAAATTAAAAAAAAATCCACCGTGCGGAAAGTAGGGAATTCCCCTCAACTTAATGAAAATATTTAAGAAATCGTCTATCCAACTCAGTTAAAAAATAATTTATGCAAGAAAGAAAATTTTCTCATCCAATTCTTTAATACAGTGTATTTGGTGGACAAATATAAAATACATATCAAAATTTAAAAAAAATCCACCGTGCGGAAAGTAGGGAAATTCCCCTCAATTGAAGAAAAAAATTTAAGAAATCGTCAATTTAACTCAATTAAAGCGTAATTTAGGTAAGAAGGAATTTTTTCTCATCCAATTCATTAATGCAGTGTGTTTGGTGGACAAATATAAAATACATATTAAAATTAAAAAAAAATCCACCGTGTGGAAAGTAGGGAATTCCCCCTCAATTAAAAATTAATATAAGAAATCGTCAATTTGACTCAGTTAAAGCGTAATTTAGGTAAGAAGGAATTTTTCTCATCCAATTCATTAATGCAGTGTGTTTGGTGGACAAATATAAAATACATATTAAAAGTTAAAAAAAATCCACCGTGCGGAAAGTAGGGAAATTCCCCCCAATTGAAGAAAAAAATCTAAGAAATCGTCAATTTAACTCAGTTAAAGCGTAATTTATGCAAGAAAGAATATTTTCTCATCCAATTCATTGATACAGTGTATTTGGTGGACAGATATAAAATACATATTAAAATTTAAAAAAAATCCACCGTGCGGAAAGTAGGGAAATTCCCCCCAATTTAATGGAAATATTTAGGAAATCGTCTATCCAACTTAGTTAAAAAATAATTTATGCAAGAAGGAATATTTTCTCATCCAATTCATTGATACAGTGTATTTAGTGGACAAATATAAAATAGATATTAAAATTTAAAAAAAATCCACCGTGCGGAAAGTAGGGAAATTCCCCTCAATTGAAAAAAAAAATATAAGAAATCGTCAATTTGACTCAGTTAAAGCGTAATTTAGGTAAGAAGGAGTTTTTTCTCATCCAATTCATTAATGCAGTGTTTTTGTTCGACAAATATAAAATACATATTAAAATTTAAAAAAAATCCACCGTGCGGAAAGTAGGGATATTCCCCCCAATTGAAGAAAAAAATATAAGAAATCGTCAATTTAACTCAATTAAAGCGTAATTTAGGTAAGAAGGAATTTTTTCTCATCCAATTCATTAATGCAGTGTGTTTGGTGGACAAATATAAAACAACATATTACAATTTAAAAAAAATCCACAGTGCGGAAAGTAGGGAATTCCCCCTCAATTAAAAAATATATATAAGAAATCGTCAATTTGACTCAGTTAATGCATAATTTAGGTAAGAAGGAATTTTTTCTCATCCAATTCATTAATGCAGTGTGTTTGGTGGACAAATATAAAATACATATTAAAAGTTAAAAAAAATCCACCATGCGGAAAGTAGGGAAATTCGGTACTCTCGAAATATGGACACAAAGATGACGCAAAACCTGAATATAAAAGGTGTTCCAGGATAGGTTCAGATTTAGAATCTAGATTGTACGCTTTTGGGAGCGCAGGGAATAACCCATTTATGCAAAAAATAATTTTTTCTCATCCAATTTATTAATACAGTGTATTTGATGGATATATATAAAATATATATTAAAATTTAAAAGAAATCCACCCTGCGGAAAGTAGGGAAATTCCCCTCAATTGAAGAAAAAAATATAAGAAATCGTCGATTTGACTCAGTTAAAGCGTAGTTTAGGTAAGAAGGAGTTTTTTCTCATCCAATTCATTGATGCAGTGTTTTTGTTGAACAAATATAGAATACATATTGAAATTTAAAAAAAATCCACCGTGCGGAAAGTAGGGAAATTCCCCCCAATTGAAGAAAAAAATATAAGAAATCGTCAATTTAACTCAATTAAAGCGTAATTTAAGTAAGAAGGAGTTTTTTCTCATTCTATTCATTATACAGTGTGTTTGGTGAACAAATATAAAATACATATTAAAATTTAAAAAAATCCACCATGCGGAAAGTAGGGAAATTCGGTACTCTCGAAATATGGATACAAAGATGACGCACAACCTGAATATAAAAGGTGTACCAGGATAGGTTCAGATTTAGAATCTAGATTGTACGCTTTTGGGAGCGCAGGGAATAACCCATTTATGCAAAAAATAGTTTTTTCTCATCCAATTTATTAATACAGTGTATTTGATGGATATATATAAAATATATATTAAAATTTAAAAGAAATCCACCCTGCGGAAAGTAGGGAAATACCCCTCAATTGAAGAAAAAAATATAAGAAATCGTCGATTTGACTCAGTTAAAGCGTAGTTTAGGTAAGAAGGAGTTTTTTCTCATCCAATTCATTAATGCAGTGTTTTTGTTGGACAAATATAAAATACATATTAAAATTTAAAAAAAATCCACCGTGCGGAAAGTAGGGAAATTCCCCTCAATTTAATGAAAATATTTAAGAAATCGTCTATCCAACTCATTTAAAGCATAATTTATGCAAGAGAGAATATTTTCTCATCCAATTCATTAATACAGTGTATTTGGTGGACGAATATAAAATACCTATTAAAATTTAAAAAAAATCCACTGTGCGGAAAGTAGGGAAATTCCCCTCAATTTGATGAAAATATTTGAGAAATCGTCTATTTAACTCAGTTAAAGCGTAATTTATCCAATAAAGAATATTTTCTCATCCAGTTCATTAATACAGTGTATTTGATGGTGATATATAAAACGAATATTAAATTTTAAAAATATTCCACCGTGCGGAAAGTTGGAAAATTCCCCTAACTTATGTTAAAATAAACGGAATCGTAAATTTATGTAAACTAAAGCGAAATCTTGTCATATTTATTGATCATTCCCATTCGCCTCCATAACTAAATATTTTTGAAGTTTTATCATGTTCTTATTTCATTTTATTGGTTTACACTACAACCTCGTAACACCCCCTCTCACTCCATATAGCACTACCTTCCGTAAAACCTCAGTAGTAACTTATGCTGGTATCTTTGGGTCACCTTCGGTGAACGTGCAGCCTCAACCAAGTACATCAGCAGCCTAAATCAGAATAGTATTGTCAACCTTAACAGATGAGGTGGCGTCATCAAGATTAGTAAAGATTTGACACTTATGGCGCTACATTTGTTATGTCGAATATGTATGTCGCCGAACCGTTTAATGCTGTTGTTAAAAAATATCTCAGAATTTGAAAGACTGTGAAACTGTATTAAAGAGCTAAAGGAAGTATGGCACACCGTACTAAGACGTTGGAAGAAACGACGATACGATCGATAGCAGCCGCTACGATCACTGTAAACGTATGAAGAAACTTTCAATTCCCAAATGAAGTTTTCACATGAATCAATCAACAAATCGTTTTTTATTCGCCAATCACAAAAAAATGGAAGCAAAAAATATCACGAAAAACTTGTATACAGTAGAAACTCTACGTACGAAAGGCTCTGGATACGAAAAATCCAACAATTCTTTTCCGAAAACTTGCATAGTGATATTTGTTCATTTTAGATTAATTTAATGCAGGGATGTTCAATACAAACCTAATATTTGAATATTGCGACCTTCGAATATCGTTTTTTGGTGTTTTTGAGAATACCGAATATGACGCACATTTCCTAGCGCCGTCAAACTTTCGATTTAAAAAAAATATTCACAGCCATTCTATTTTTTATCGCAATTGAAATCAGCCGTGCGCGTCGTGGCACTAAATTATGGCCAGCATGAAAGAAATTCAAAAAGCGCAATTACAATTATTACACAATATTCACAATTATTATCGTCTATTCCAATAAATCTGAAAGCAAATTGTGTCGCAATTAATTGTTTTCACCCTCAATTTCGATAGTGACCGAACATAACGGGAATTTTTTTCATTTCTTGCAATTAAGAGTTTATAAAATGACCTTTAAATGTTATTTAATATCTAACGCGGATTTTATCATTATCCCGACGTCGTTGATGACAATATCGTTCACTTTAAGTTGGCGATATCAATAAGCAAAATTAAAATAATAACACCAGACATGAAAGATTAGCGCCGACTCAAATCAAGTAAAAACCGACTTAAAAAATAAAACAAGTTTTCTGGTCTTAATTCTCCATCAGTGGCGGACGGTAATTTGGGAATCAATCATTTGATTATGACGATGGTAAACAAAGGTACATAAGCATACCGTTCTTAGTTTTTATTCGTTATTACTGTGTTCTTCCTTCTTTCCGTATGTTCTTTGTTTATTTATTATGCTGTAATCTAATTCTAACATGTAGTTGTTGGATTTTAAGCATTAATATAATTTATACGAAAATGATGTCCGAGTTTTACGTGGACTTAAAACGGATTAGGGCATTTACAGGTAAAACGCCTTATGTAATACGACGGGTCTTCGGAACGAATTAATTTCGTGGGTAGCGCTTCTACTGTATATTCATGGCTCTGTACTCAATGGACAGGTTAACGGGAAATGGCCATTTGATCTACTTGTTAGTGTCAAGTGGCAACCCTTTGAAACTTATTTTTACATCAAATGCGTTTTAATGCCAACCGGCCTCGTATGCTGGACATTTCCAAAGTACGTCCAATATCTCCGCAATATCTCCGTTGTAGCATCCAGCATGAAACCAGCGTGGACACACATCACAGCCAATCTTTAAAAAAAGTCAAAATAACATGAATATAAAATTATATATTGCATGTTTATTGAACACCTATTAGGTTACTTACCCATTCTCCTTCTCCCGTCTCCCCACAAAAACTGCAGTACGTCTCCACGCAGTCTGTCAAAAATGTATTTTTTAACTGCGTAATGTTTAGATAATTATCTAAATATCAAATATTCATTTCGTCATACCGGAATTCTGAATCACCCAACTGGCAATTTTCGCCCTTTCATCGATTGGTGAAACAACATGGATGCTTTTAGTTTCCAGCATCATCCAAGCGAACTGCAATCGAATATATGCCAAAGAACCAATAGACAAAATAAGTTGTTTCAAAATAACGCAAAATAGTGTGAAGAAAATCATGAGAATGTTGTTTGGTATATGAAAATAAATTAATCAATTCTTATGGAACAATTTCTTGTGAATAAATTGACAAAGAACATATACTGATGTATGGATAATTAAATTTGTATGACTTCCTATATACCTTTATCACGTAAATTCCACAACTGGATCCATCCCTCTGAATGGGATGTTCAGTAACCGTTGGTGTCCAGTTTTCGCATTCTTTTCGTAAATTCATCCAGTTTCTGTGTGTTGTAACGTGTGTAAATTCAGTTTTACTAATATACTTTTCATGTAACTTCATTTTTAAAAATCAATACTTTTCATTCAATTTCAATGTCATTCACAATTGTCAATGTCATTCCAATTGTAAATACAGTTTGTTACTGGTACAATGTGATTATGTAGTTCATATATTATTTGTAAGAACAGGACACGTTTTTACGAAAACAGCCGAATACTTTCAACAAGAGAAATAGAATATTAAAAATAAAGGACTGGATAACTGTAAAGAAGATAATTTTAAAAAATCCACTCCAGGATTTGAAAGCGATCTGGCAACAGTGAAGTAAAGGTTTATTGAGTTTCTACTTTAGCTTGTAGTTGAAATGGCTAACGATAAGATGTATTTCAGGAATTGAACTCACTTATAATTTTTACATGCGTGAGTGGTCTCTTCAATTGAACTTCCATACGGATTCAGAAAGTAGAAATTATTTCTCGTTGTGTCAATGAATTGCAAAGATATTTTGTTCGAATCAAAATGAAGAATCAAATACAAAAAGCAATATGTAATTTTGCCACAACAATTTTTATTTATTGAATATTATTAAAATTTCAAAACAAAACTTCATCCTCACCAAAAGAACCCAGTGATTTCCATTTATCCTGCACGCAGAAACAATCACGCTATAGTTTCCTAAATTTAACTGTAAAACAAATGAGATGATATAAGTATGATATTAAAGTGTTGTAGGAAAGATGAATATGGACTTTTTAGATAAAAAAACAATGTCGATTTTTCCAACCCTAATTTTGTTTATACCAATGGTTTTCGATCATAGTTCCGCAAGTATATTCCAGCAGTTTTACATTCAAATCCGAGGTGTTCGGCGTCAAATTGTTTTTTTCATATTTTGTAACAAAAGTAATCATGAATCAACTTATACATATCAATTACACCGGGGTTCTCGAGCCTCGGATATATTTATTGGTTGTTTCCTATCCGCCTGAAAAATTAAAACATCAAAGATTGAAAGATTGACTTACATCAGTCATTAGATGGTGATGCATGCTGGTATGTTGGTGAAAAATACAACCAGCAATATAACTATCCATAACGTAAACATCACGGCGATTCTTTGTCATCAGTTGAAAGGAGTAAATAATAGTCTGAAAGTATGTGCCGATCAAAAAATTTGAGAACAGTTACAAACGAATTATAAAAATTATTTAATTGCTTGTGATTGAATAATTATACTTTTATATCCCATTTGGAATCATGTAGAGGTAGAATTGTTATTGAGTTGTCTGTCGGGAACAGTAGCAGTGAGACGGTCATTTATTCCCTGCGCTCCCAAAAGCGTACAATCTAGATTCTAAATCTGAACCTATCCTGGTACACCTTTTATATTCAGGTTGTGCGTCATCTTTGTGTCCATATTTCGAGAGTACCGAATTTCCCTACTTTCCGCATGGTGGATTTTTTTTAACTTTCAATATGTATTTTATATTTGTCCACCAAACACACTGCATTAATGAATTGGATGAGAAAAATTCCTTCTTACCTAAATTACGCTTTAACTGAGTCAAATTGACGATTTCTTATATATATTTTTTAATTGAGGGGGAATTCCCTACTTTCCGCACGGTGGATTTTTTTTAAATTTTAATATGTATTTTATATTTGTCCACCAAACACACTGCATTAAGAATTGGATGAGAAAAATTCCTTCTTACCTAAATTACGCTTTAATTGAGTTAAATTGACGATTTTTTATATTTTTTTCTTCAATTGGGGGAATTTCCCTACTTTTCCGCACGGTGGATTTTTTTTAAATTTTAAAATATGTATTTATATTTGTCCACCAAAAACACTGCATTAATGAATTGGATGAGAAAAAATTCCTTCTTACCTAAATTAAGCTTTAACTGAGTCAAGTTGACGATTTCTTATATTTTTTTCTTCAATTGAGGGGAATTTCCCTATATGTATTTCCTAATATGTATTTTATATTTGTCCACCAAATACACTGTATTAATGAATTGGATGAGAAAATATTCTTTCTTGCATAAAATTATTTTTTACTGAGTTTGATAGACGATTTCTCAAATATTTTCATTAATTGGGGGAATTTCCCTACTTTCCGCACGGTGGATTTTTTTTAAATTTTAATATGTATTTTATATTCGTCCACCAAATACACTGTATTAATGAATTGGATGAGAAAATATCCTTTCTTGCATAAATTATTTTTTAACTGAGTTGGATAGACGATTTCTTAAATATTTTCATCAAATTGGGGGAATTTCCCTACTTTCCGCACGGTGGATTTTTTAAATTTGGTATCTATTTTATATTTGTCCACCAAACACACTGCATTAATGAATTTGGATGATAAAAAATTCCTTCTTACCTAAATTACGCTTTAACTGAGTCAAATTGACAATTTCTTATATTTTTTCTTCAATTGAGGGGGAATTTCCTTACTTTCCGCACGGTGGATTTTTTTTAAATTTTAATATGTATTTTATATTTGTCAACCAAATACACCGTATTAATGAATTGGATGAGAAAATATTTTCCTTGGATAAATTACGCTTTAACTGAGTTAAATAGACAATTTCTCAAATATTTCATCAAATTGGGGGAATTTCCCTACTTTCCGCACGGTGGATTTTTTTTAACTTTTAATATGCATTTTATATTTGTCCACCAAACACACTGCATTAATGAACTGGATGAGAAAAAATTCCTTCTTACCTAAATTACGCTTTAACTGAGTCAAATTGACGATTTCTTATATATATTTTTTAATTGAGGGGGAATTCCCTACTTTCCGCAAGGTGGATTTTTTTTAAATTTTAATATGTATTTTATATTTGTCCACCAAACACACTGCATTAATGAATTGGATAGGAAAAAAACCCTTCTTACCTAAATTACGCTTTAATTGAGTTAAATTGACGATTTCTTATATTTTTCTCTTCAATTGGGGGGAATTTCCCTACTTTCCGAACGGTGGATTTTTTTAAAATTTTAATATGTATTTTATATTTGTCCACCAAATACACTGTATTAATGAATTGGATGAGAAAATATTTTTTCTTGCATAAATTATTTTTTAACTGAGTTGGATAGACAATTTCTCAAATATTTTCATTAAATTGAGGGGAATTTCCCTACTTTCCGCGGGTGGATTTTTTTAAAATTTTAATATGTATTTTATATTTGTCCACCAAATACACCGTATTAATGAATTGGATGAGAAAATATTCTTTCTTAAATAAATTACGCTTTAACTGAGTTAAATAGACGATTTCTCAAATATTTTCATCAAATTTGGGGGAATTTCCCTACTTTCCGCACAGTGGATTTTTTTTAAATTTTAATAGGTATTTTATATTCGTCCACCAAATACACTGTTTTAATGAATTACTAAATTACTGACGGCTCGTTGGAAAGCTTATTTAAAGAGCTTGCAATTGGCGATTAGAAAAAAAAGTTTTTTTAAAAGTGGTGGTCTGAGTCACAAACCGGATAAAAAAAGGCATTTTTTTTCTTGGGAGTTGAAACTTCAAACCGTGATAAAAAATAGAAATATTCGCTAAATCCTTTACTGTTACCGCTTCGTGGTTGGCAAACAATAGCATAATATTGCTGTAGCAATTTCGTGATCCAACTCAAAATGCTTTGGTAGATGGAAGGGATAATATGTCTTCTATTACCACCCAAAAGACACCGAAATTTGTATAAATTTCAAAAACACTCCCTTGTTCCGCCGCAAATAAAATTCCCGTCGTAAACGAAAGCGAGATTTACCGTCGCTTATGTTAATCTCGAAGAAGACTTCTTATCAATAAACTAAACCCGAAAAAACTAGACCAACAGTTTGCGACCGATTGCTAAATAAAACAGTGGAGTACATCAACGTACCCGCCGCAATCTAGCGACTTTCGTCGTGGGTACGTATACGTGCCCACCGCACGGAAAGGGTTGAGGCTTAAATTATACGAACATTGAAAATACAAAGATACAGTAAAGTCAAAAGTTTTAACCACACATAGATATTTCAATGGGAGGTATAGCACTGCGTTTATCCGACAAGTTTGTCAATAGTAGGTGCAATCAATGACATATTGGTGCAATGGACGATGTAACAATGCGGAGCGGATTTCTCACATGGCTGTCAGAAATTAGTGTCTCACCGGGGATATTACATGGTTCATCCGTGAAAAAACTTGCTCGTAATAGTAATACCAAATATTGTGTCATAAAACTGCTCTTCTAGCTTCACAGAAAAAAAGAGAGGAAAACAGATTGAAATACATGGCAAACGATAAAAATAAATTCAAGCATGTCTCACTAGCAATAACGACCACAAATGGACATAAAAGAAGCTTCCAATAGCTAGGTGGTGCTTCTCGTGCGTTTGAACGACCTTTTTTGTATTATAGGTTTCAATAATGGCTCAAATTTGTGAAAGACATTGGGATTCGAATAATACCGCGCGGGCCACTCGGAAACCTTCGGCGGGCCACGGGTTGGACGACCCTGGTCTAGGGCCTAGCTAGGCTATGATATGTCTCATCGTCTGCATCCGTAGGTTGTCGCCAATCTAACTATATACCTCCATTATTTTAATGTCGGCGATAGAAGTTTCTTTTCAGTTGATAATATTTTGAACGCTGTTCTTCCTTGGGTTCCGACCGGTTAATTTTTATCGATAATTGCTTTTCTGTTTTGACGCGAGTTTCGCGGGCTTTACTGCATCTGACGTGTCACGCGTGGCTCTTGCATCTCGACTTTACGCGTCGTAGGACGTTCTTGTTTAATCTTGTTATGGTGTCAGTGGTGTGGTTTCGCATTATCCGCTTTACTGACTTAGCGTGTGGGTGGCATTTGGTCTCGTTAGGTAGAACTGTGGTGAGGGTATCGTAACCGGGGCCCCATATGACCATCGTCGTCATTTATTGCTTTAATTGTCCATGTATTTTATATTTCATTCTTATTAACTGCTTTCTAAATTTATTTGCTATCTTTATGCCAATAACGTTATCGTTCACGTTTCCTGTCAGTTTCTTGTCAATTTAGGCCTTTGGAGCGTTATCATATGTAAGTTTATTTTCTATCAACTTCTGCTTATGCATTTTCTTTCCGCACTCATCTTGTGATTGTTTATTGATTATTTTATTTACAGTCAACCGTTTTACAATAAACGCGTATGGCACGTTTGAGGGCTTGTCATCCTTAACCACGCTTAGACAAAAGCGTATCAACACAGAGACTGAGTTTGAATCATTGTTGATCAAAAGTCGGAATTCGATAAACGAGAAGGCTCGAAGATCGCAGCTGGCATGCCTAAAAACAGAGTTACATTTAAAACTGGCCGCCTATAATCAAATTATATCGAACACATTACCTCAAATTTGCAACGCAGAGTCGAAAGCTGCTTTCGAAGAATGCGTTCAGAAAGTGATATCTGAAGTTGAAGGTATGAACGATGAAATTGATAGTTACATCGACCGTGAACCTGAAATATCGTGCGTGGCTCCTGACGAAGGGAACTCTCAGATTTCAAGTGAAAGAATGGAAGAGGACAGCGATAATACAATAAATCTCCAGCCAGCGTGCACCAAGCAGTCCGGTGGTGAAATGGGGGCGGCGACTGACCAACTTCGAGAATCTAGAGTACGAGAACACGACGATCGCCGAGAGACACCAACTCTTTTAAAAGAGTCCCTTTATGAGCCACAGATTCAATAACTTTGACGAACACGACGTGTTACAATCAACTCGAAGAAAAAGTGCCCGCTTCGAACCAGAGACTTTTACCGCGTCAGATAAACGTCGTGAATATACGATTTCTTACACTTCAAGACATTACCAAAATCCTTCACCAGCAAACCAAATGCCGTTGCCAGACCAATCGGTAGACTCCTGGATCGATAATCTCCAACCAAATCAAGCAGGATCCAGAACGATAAATGATAACATTTCTCTAGCTGAGCAAACGTGTTTATCTTTGAGTTCAAATTCTAAAATGTGGGCTGAGCATCATTTGCCGCCGGTACAAATAAGTCCGTTTGATGGGAGTGCTATAAACTGGCCTAATTTCATTGAATTGTTTTATGAAAATGTTCATTCACGGTTAGACTATGATGGTCAACGCATAGTGAGATTGTCCGCGTATTTGTCGGGTTCGGCGAAGCGTCGTGTTGAGGGGTTAGGTACCGCCGGTAGCCATTACATACTGGTTTTAAAGGAACGCCGCTACGGACAGCCGGTACTTATCGCACGGGCGGTGCTTGACCGAGTTGTAAATGGAAAACGTATGTCGCCTCTTTCGGCCGATAGATTGCTAAATTTTCACTCAGACGTGCGTGACTGCGCGGTGAATCCCAAAAAGATGTGTTATTTGGCTGACATCAGTAGCGTCGAGAATGTAAGGAGGGTTTCAAGCAGGATTCCTCAAACTGAACTCGAGTTGGAATAAATTTGTTGTAGGTTTTATTCACAAAAACTCTAATCCGACATTAATTGACTTTGAGCAATGGTTGTGGGAAAGAACTGAAGAAATCGCCAATCCTTTTTCTATAGATGTTACTTGCAATGTGATCAATAGAACTGATTTAACTGACCACGAGATGCCCAGAAGCGCTCGTCGCCGATTTCCGACTCCATTTTCAACGTTATCAAACTTGGAATCCGATAATACGTCATATAGTGACGCATCAAGTTATCAATTCTGCAATGCTCGCCATTCTTTGAGAAGTTGTGAGACGTTTTTCGTTGCGACCGATTATGTAAAACGTGACTTTGTTGTAGATTACAGACTTTGCTTTAAATGTCTTGAACCGGGCCATCGTGCATTTATGTGTAGATATGATGTCGAGTGTAGTATATGCAATGGGAAACATCACAAATGTATTCATGGAATTCGCATGTTTGAAAGCGTCCCAAGACCAATAAACCGACAGGGTATAAACAATGCGGTGTCGGTAACAACTTGAGTTCAATTTCAGTTGCTGCCTGTTCTGGTTAGAGGAGCTAATGGACGCTCCGAATATACAGTTGCTTTGCTTGATTCGGCAAGTCAGGTCTCTCTCATTCATTTCAAACTTAAAACTAAATTGGATTTGCGTGGACGTCGTAAAGGTTTCATGTTAACCACCCTCGGAGGAACTGGGGTCTTGCATGACTCGGAAGCGGTCGAAGCATTGCAAAACTGCATGTTATTCGTGCCATGCGTTACCAACAAGCGGGGGTGTCCGAGGCTATCTTTCCAATACGACGCCTACTCGCTCCGAACAGGCCAAGTACAAGCAGTCACTGATATCTTTAAAAGACTATCCACAGACTTACTTCACTGTCGAATTATCGAGAAAGTATACAAGCGCGCAATCACATTTATCTCGTATGGGGGAGAGATTGATAGAAAGCCTAAAAACGTAGATATAAAACGTTCATATGCGGTCAAATTGTGTGGAAAGTGGGATCTCATGTTCTCAGATAGTGATTTTGTTTAAATTATGTTATTTTAAAACTACATGTCTGCGTTAATTAGACCCAACCTAAGTTAATTTCGCGAAAAGGGGGACTTAAGTATTTAGATAGTTCTTTTTTAAATTTTGTTATTTAAAAATTACATGCCGCGTGCGGAAACGCTTCTGAATCAACCAATTCAATATTACCCCCTTTTTCCCTGATTGCCGTAGACTCATAGAGGATAGATATTACCTGCCGCGCCGTGGCTCTTACTCCATGCATTCGAACCAATTAACTGTTCACAATTCCTGTGTGAACCTGGGCTGCCAGCAGGGATGGCCATTTCCGAATACTGAACTATTCCGAATACATTCTAAAATAATGTTTTCGAATCTGGAATTCCGAATACATTCTAATAATAACACATTTTTGTTTTAGTTGATTAAAACCCAGTAAATTAGGAAATAAGCTTCAATAGAAATAGCAGAATGAAGCCACAGACCAACAGTATATGTACACAAAGTAATTGATAGTTTATAGCTATTAATAAAAAATAATAGCAACTTGTGACACAGTCAGTTTATTAAAATTATTCACTTTGTACAAATGACCATATGAAAAGATAGCCAAGGAGTTGTCTGACGCTTTATATCATTTGTACCATGATATTACGATAATAGTCGAGTCTATTGACAAAAATACTACTTGCATTCAGATAATTGTGTATATTTTCTGAGAGTAATAAAATTTATTTGCAATACAGGCAACAACAATCGAAAATCCATTATGCCTTTAAAAATTCTAATATTTAAGCCTAGAGTATTCTACTACCTACCACAGTATATATGTATATACATTTATGTGAACCATATTGTTATTATGTGTAACATATTGTTGTGTTTGGAGTTAGAAATAAATTAGTAGAGAATAGATGACCACCACTGCCAGCGCGCAGCCAGGATTTTCGAAATCGGAAATTCTCCGTGCCGCCTGTAACACCCACCGCGCTTCCGCGCTCGTTAAAAGAGCCGTCTTGTCAGCGTATAATGATCATTCTGTTACGTAAAATATTCAATCCATTACAACTACGAAATTCTAAAATATCTTTATATATTAATTTAATGTGTCCAACATAACTCGCGGTTGCTTCTTCTTATGTCAAAAAAAAACATTACTATTCGGTCCACGGCAATCTGTGACCTAAAATTACGAGATAAACTGCTCGATGTATTTAATTTTAATATGTATTTTTGCAATCTTGCCAACTCGTTATCGCCGTTAGATAATCTCAAATAATTATATAAAATCCTGTTAAGTGTAGAGAATAATTCATTTCATACAATGAATATACATATAAAGTTTAGTAGTACATTAAAAATACATATTCATCGCCGCGATTTTGCCACCTGTTAAAAGAGTCGACTTTTACAACAAATAATATAGCAACGAATATATATATTTCTGTTGTGCAAAGTGATGAATTCGTGACCAACACAGGCATATTTAAAATGTCTTGCTCTTATTAATTTAATTGTCTTCAATTTAACCTGCGGTTGCGTAGACAAAATAAAATCCTCACCACTCTTATATACCATTGCAATCCGCGGCCATAAAAATAAAAACGCGAGGTAAACTGTCCGATTAAATATTGTTTTTATCCGTATTTTACGAATTCGGCAAATATTTAGATGTACTTGTTAACAGTGACTCCGCTCGATCGAAATGCTCAGAGTAAAATTTATTTCATCACAATAAAATTGATTGAATATACTTTAGATTAATTATATTATATACATCCTTACAATCAGGGAAAAAGTCGCTTTTCAAACCTGGTATCGTGTTAACCCGAAAATATTCGACGGCAATTTGAAGTAATGGATAATCAGGCAAATCCCGCCCTCAATTAGTGACGATATGTTTCTAAACGCCGACCAAACATAATGTGAATTATAACGAAATTTTGCGATTTTCACTGCCTAGAAAAGCGCATTTTAAATTTTCGCGGGCCTCAATAAAACTTATGCTGTTTACGGTTTTATTTTCAGTATTTTAAATTGCCGCTTTTCAATCAAAAAGTTGCGTTGTCTTTAGAAACTCGCCGCCATTGAACGTATTTACCAGATTCACAATTCCGTGCGCGTACAAAAATAAATGTTATCGTTATCGTGGAACAAATTTGTGGAAAATTTTCGTTTTAGAGAAAATAACACAATCGTAAAGGCGTTAACGGGCCTAAATAACACGTTACGCTGATGAGTGATAAAAACAATCACGCGCAAGTTTCTATCGAGAATGTTTTCATTCAACGGAAACGTCTTGAAAGCGGCGTCGAAAATGTGTGACGCCACACAAATATCCTATATTCTTATGAACGTGAATTCCGATATTCGAATGACGAGATATTCGAATACTTTATTCGAATTGGCCATCCCTGGCTGCCAGATATTCCAAAAATGATGCAGGGGCACACAAAAGCAGAATTTGTATTATTTCAATCTGATTGTGATGGATATTATAATTAAAAAAATCAGCACTTTAAATAATAATCTTAAATTTGTAGCTTGAAATTTTTATCGATAACACGATGTTGTACCTGAGAATATCAGCATACCACATATGGTCAGTAACATTTTAAGAAAAATCAAGTTCACTTTTTACCATATTTGTAAAAGCCTTCTCCTGTTTTTACTCCCAGTTTACCTTCAGCCACCAATCGATCAAGAAGGGGACTGGGATTAAAAAGTGGGTTGTTGGGATCTCCTTCATGCCAGCCTGCTATAATAAATTTTGAGGTATCTAGTCCTACATAATCTAGAAGTTGAAAAGGTCCCATTGGGTATCCAGCACCCAATTTCATAGCTGTATCAATGTCTTCCATAGAACCATCTCCCCTTTCATATAGCCTCACTGCTTCAAGTAGATAAGGAACAAGCAATCTGTTTACTAAAAATCCTGGTGTGTCTTTGCATGATACGACAGTCTTTCCAAGCTGTAATTATTTAGAAATGTTAATTGCGCTGATCATGAAATATCTCCATAAACTAAATGGGTCACAAGTTACATTAAATCGAGAACAACCATCTTGTGGCGAGAGGTTGAACATAAAGTGGATCTTTCATTCAAGTAGACAATACGCATGTAAAGCATTAGACAATTACACACAGTCACAATCACAACTTAAATTCTTCTGCATGATCATTATCATATTTTACAAAACAATTTCACACCACCATAAACCCAAGCCCAGAGAGAATATTATTCAAAATGTTCACAATTTGTTAAAGTAACTAAAGCATGCTAGCTTGTCATGCATGTAGACAAAAACATAAAAACAGCCTATACAAGATTGATTATCAAATATGATAAATTGACCTTTAAATAGGTATTTATGTCTAAAACTTTATTTTAAAAAAATGAACTAATAATGCTCACCGCTTGTCCCCAGGCATATAGTGAATCAAAAGTTTCCTGACTAGTGTTTGGTGCTTTTATTACTTCAACAAGCTTCATCATAGGCACAGGATTGAAGAAGTGAACACCACCGAAACGATCCTAAACATATTTTCACTAAAATAAATCATATAATCAAACATTGAAATGAAATTATTGTTCAGTTTAAATATTAATTAGTTATTATTTACGGTAGATCAATTTGACTCCTCACTTATTGAATTCTAACACTGTATTTAGAACGGAGGGTCCGGAATTTAGACTTCAGGAAGACCTAATTTTCCCCATCTCACACAATCAAAAATATAGGACCCATGCCATACCTGTCTACTGGTGCTTGAAGCTATCTCCCTTATAGGCAGTGATGATGTGTTTGACGCAAATATTGTGTGTTGAGGTGCGACAGCGTCCAAATCTTTAAAGAGATCCTGAATCAAA